CTCCCGGCATTAAAGATTCCTCACCCTCTTCTCTTCAGCGCTCACCAAAAGCTCCGTAACTCTCCATGACCGCACGGGCACTCAGGTCTTCTCAAGACAAACGGCTTCAAGAATGTGAGTTCGTCAAGCGTGCCTCGACTAGGCGGGTCAGCCAAGTTCGACGGCGACGGTACCCGCGAAAACCAAATCAAAGATGCGCAATCTTCATCGCAGAACTCCATGGCCAGAAGAAGGCTGCGCCACGAGACATCATGTGCGGTCCCTTTGATGAGGCAATCAAGGACCGCATAGTTGTCTTGGAAGAAGATGGCACGCTGACCATCCAAGAAATGCTTCCACAAACGTCTAGCGACAACGGCCGCGTAGAGCTCAGTCTGGCCGATCAAATGCTCTTTGCCTGCATCACGCCATTCTCGCACTAAAGCTGCAGGCACCGTGGCACCAAACACCTCTACAGCGACACCAGGAACGATGATCACACCACCAATCGTGGCGCCACCGAGCTCGTCTTCGGGATCGCTTTCGGGCTCATAAGCCCCGTCCGTGAACACCAGCACTGGTTTTTGCTTGATGTCAACCGGCAGCTTACGCGGAGGTCCAGCACAGATCCTCCGCTGCATGACTTTCAGCGCCTGAAGCGACTTCGAATCCAAGTTCAGAACACCTGTGCATCCAGACGCATACTCCCTAATGTCGGCCATGGCTAGCTTGCCCGCTCTACCGAACACTTGCATGTCTGCAAACTGAAGCCGACCCATCATCGACGGAAGCTCCCTGCAGTTGACCTGCTTCTTGTCAAGCAGAAGCTGCACAGCCTGGCTCACTTCCAGTTTCCGTGACGCCTTGTTGCCCACTTGCACACTTCCGGGGTCAGACAAGTCGAGTTCAACCCCGAGCATCTCGGACTTGGTTTTGAAAGGCTTCAGCTTGTCCAACGTGAGGGCAAAACCCAAGAGATCCATCAAGATCTTGACGCTCTGCATAGTCGAGACTTCCAGAGCTGCATGCGACAAAGTCGGATAGTCATCGAAGTAGTTAGACCACGGAATGTGGAGGTGGCACCCAATGGCCCACAGAAGCCGTGCCACTCTGTTGAAATCGGCAACTGCAGCTTTTGCACCAAAAGGCAATGCCCGCATCAGAAAACACCGGGGCTGTCCGTCACTGGGGCACACGAGACTCACGACCGCCTTGCTCACATCACACGGCGCAACTGGCAGCTGCTTGTATGCGCTCTTCAGGTCGAAAGCAGTTGCTTTGAAGGACGTCGACAACCTCACCCAATCTGCATGAAGCTTCCCCGCCAATCGGGTTCCGTCAGACAAACGCAGATCAACAGAATGATGAAACACGCAGTGCCGGCACAGAGTCAAGGCCGACCACACTATATGGTCCATGGCCCCCAAAGAGATTGACTCCACTGACGTGAATGCATCATTCACATTGTTCTCGCTGCAGTCATCTACCGGCCGAATCTTGTCCTTCTGGCTCACGCCAAACCGTCGCAGAGGGATCCATGTTTTCGTGCCCAGTTTCTCATCAATCTGCGTCGGTGTGTACGGGCCGTCCAACCAACCCTTGGCATCAGCCGCCTCATCACACGTCAACTCGTACACAGCTGCGGCCAGATCGTCCACTTTCTGGGCACTGATCTTTCCCAGAAGAAGCGGTCTCAGGAACTTTGCTTTCGAGTAAAGCTCTTCCTCAGATAGAGACGCCGGCCGCAAATCAGGGCGAAACACTCCAGACGCAGATGCCATCCCGGTCAGCTTGAAGCCTTGCACTAATTCGTCATGGAGCTTCCCATCTGGCCAACCGATCTCCTCTGAGATTCTGCGAAGCAACAACAATCTCTTTGGCCGCACAATCCGCTCCACGGACGGGTGTAGACGCTGCTTCAAGAGTGTCTCTTCCTTCTCCAACTCCGCAGCCCAGAGTCTCCACTTCTTAAGCTTAGCAAGACGCAGCTTAGCAATCTCAACTGGACCCAAAGTCAACAGCTCAAACAAACACAAAATCAACCTATCAGGAACGTTCATGAGCTCATCAAAAGGATGCCAAATCTGCCGCGCCACACTCACAAACTGTTCCTTGGAGTGGTACACGCCAAACACGCATAACACCTTGCCATCTCCAGACCGCCCCCACTTCTCTTCAGCCCGAAGTAGTCTGCTGCCTTGCGGAACATTACGCACAGTTCCCCGCAGAAACTTCCCTTTGTCCAGAGGCGGCAGCGCCGGGAGAAGGAGGGACACCACACGAACATACTCTTTGATCAGGCTCGGCGCGCGTCTCCCTTTAGGCTGTTTGAAAGGCAGCAAGTGATGAGGGTCCATCGCCGGGCCAGCCAAGGCAAGGCCTTCCTTGGCAGCGAGCTGAACCAACGCCTGCGCGAAAGCTTCGCAGAAAGGCAAAGTGTATTCTGCTTCCGCCGCTGTGTCAAACTCGCCATTGTGCTCATGGGATCGATCGCATTCACGCCACAGGTCGAAGAACTCCACTCGGTTTGTCAACAAAGCGTTTTGCTTGAAGCGCTCCCCACCGAACATGCAGTTGTCATAGCACACGAACATGGACTTCTGCACCAAATCACGCATGCACGGGAGGTCCCAAAGCCAGCTGCTACGTGGGTTTTCAATTGTCCACGCCACATCATGACTCAGGCAAAACAAGGCCATGCGTTCGTAAATAGCATTGGCACTAGCAACTCTTGACGCGTCACCCGGCCCCATGTCAGACAAGCCCATGGGGAACTCGTGGCTACGAAGAGCAGGAGGCGCAGGAGAGCCGTCCGCAAGCGGCCGTCCACGGGCCTTAGAACAAGTCCCACATGGTGGCGCGAAGTGTATCGCGATCACACGCTCCTGGAGACATAAATTGTCGAAGAGCTCCCACGCAAAATCCTTGCTGACGTCCAGGCGATGCACACGAAACACAGGCTTGTGACGATTGCTGCTCTGGTCGATCGCGAGCACGCGGAATCCACACTGGCGCACGTGGGCACTGAGCCTAGCACAACCACAGCAAACTTCAATGAACAGAGGGGCGCCCTCCAATGACTGCACTTCAGAAGAACTATGCGACTGCGCGGCTTCGCCTAAACTTTGGTCGGTCAACGCTCTGCTTGACTCGACCGGCTTTCCTTTGCTATCATCCAACCTTTGGCAGGATGATAGATCGAGCACATCTGCTCTGCAAGTCGGAGCATGCACGCATGACTCCTGCAGCACATTTGCCGCACACAGTGGGTCATTCCCACGCTCCCCGGACAAAACGTCGGGACTGCAGGGGCAACATGCCCCCTGCAGCACATTTCCCACACAGTGTGGGACATTCTCGCGCACACTGGCCACATGTCCAGTGTCGCCACAAGGCTGCGGCTGCTGCCATAGCTGCACACCACTGTCACACACAGCTACATTGGGTGCCGACACTTCACTGGCCGGCCGCAAACACGCCTCACACGAGGCGCCCACGCACGTGGGCTGGCAACGGTGGGCGGGGGAAGCCTCCCCCTGCGACCATCACTCAGTCGCCTTCTTCGGGCAATCGATGGCTGCATGAGCCTTGTGACAGCCCTTCACTGCACAAATGTGAAGGCCCTTGGAACAGCGCTGCCCATGAACATCACATTTCTTCAAATTGAAATTGAAGCAAATGGCATTGCCCTTGGCGGTTTTGGCAACAGCGCCCATGCCCAACAATGGCTTGGGAAGAAAGCTGCTGCCACTTCCCTTGCCCTTACCCTTAGCCTTTGCGTCCGAGGCTTCATCATCACCGTGGCCACGAAATCTCTTGGCTGGCCTGACAGATGGCCAGTCCTGCGTCATGCTGAGCATAGGCTGCAAGTAATGCATGACCTCGGTCGACTCGAAGCACTGGACAAACACCTTGTCGCACGGGCGGCCCTCGGGTGACACCTTGATGCCGCTGCGAGTCTTCTCAGCCAAGACCGTCCACAAGCGCTTATCGGCTTCCTCCAGCTGCTTCAGAGTCACTCTCGCATAGCCGGGCGGGGGCTCCATCTGGCGAGCCATGAAAAGCTTCTCGCACCATTTATCATGGAGCTTAAAGTCAAGCACATTGCCTTGCTCGAGAGCGAGACCGCGCCTGACGAGTGCATAGCGCACCTGAATCTCATCATTGCAGGATATGGGCTCCTCTCTCAAGCGCTTTGAAATCTTCAAAATGCCACTGGCATCGAAGGTCAAAGACTGGTCGCGCTTGGCGCTAGTCATGACCTCATGCTCACGGCTGATGCACTTTGCCCATTCGATGAAAGAAATGCGATCGGCGTCGTACATAGCAACTGCCTTATCCACGAGCGCATCCCCAGGTTCATTGGCACCTGTGATGCTCACCCCCTGCAAGCGGGCCTGCTGCGCCTTCAAACGTTCGGCGCGTTCTGGCGCTGCCAGCTTGCGCACACCCGTATCATCGGACTGTTCCACTTGAGCTTTCAGGTCCGCCGCCACCACAGCGTAACTCTCATGGAACAAGCGCCGCAAACGAGCCGTCTCTGCCAAGGACGGCTCGCGCTTCAAGGCCGACTTGATCATGGCCAAGAAGTTGGACTCATCACTGCTGCCTGGGACGTGAGAACAAGCAAAAGCGAATGTGGCCATGGAGTCAAGGCCTGCATCCTTCAGTGCTTTCGACACTTCCTCGGAAATCCCAATCTCCCTCGCCCGGCTCTCAAAAACGGCTGCACTTTCTGCGAAAGCCATGACAACAGAGCAAAAGCGCACAGCTACTCGCTAACTTGGAACTCAATCACAAGCTGCGGCACAAAGCTGTACGGAAGTTCCACTGTCATGATTCATGAGCGCGACAGCTGCCCACGAGAAAGCAAGTGACTTG